CCCCAGTTTTTTTGTTCTCATTTGCATAAAAATCTATATTTTTCATCTCTTTACTTTTAGTCTTTTGATTTAAAGTGGGTCTCTTACAGGCAGCATGTGTATGGGGCTTGTTTATTATCCATTCAGCCACCCTACTTTTTAATTGGAGCAGTTAGTCCATTTAAATTTAATGCAATTGTTAATAGGTACGTAGTTATTGCCATTGTATTTATTATTTTCTGACTATTTTTGTGGCTCTTCTCTGGTCTTCTTTTATTCTCTTGCTCTCTTGTATGTTGATTAGTTTCTATAGTGTTATGCTTGGATTTTTTTTCTTTATTTCTTGTATAGATATTTTTGTTTATGGTTATCATGTACTTTTCACTTATACCAAACTATCTTTATAGCAGTCTAATTTAAGTTGATGGTTGCTTAAGTTTGAATACATTCTAAAATCACTACACTTTTTTACTCATCTCCCCAATGTTTATTTTTTGTCATTATTTCTCTCTTTTTTTGGTGTGTATTTGTGTACGCTTTAATTATTGTTGTATTTACACATGATCTTCCTATTTTTGTCTTTTAATCTTTTGTACTAACTTTAAAATTGTTTGATCAACTGCTATTACTAAGCATTTGCCTTTGTCAGTGAGAATTTTTTCTTTCATATATATTTTTTTGTTAATCCTCACCTGATGATATTTTTCCATTTATTTTTATAGAGTGGAAGGGAGGGAAAGAGGAAAGGGAAGAGAGAGAGAGAAAGAGAGAGAGAGAGAGAGAGAGAGAGAGAGAGAGAGAGAGAGAGAGAGAGAGATCACAATGATTGGTTGTCTCTCGCACATGCTCCAACCAGAGGCAGGAAATAAAACCTTCAACCAACCCTTCAGTTTGTGAGCTAATGCTCTACTACTCAGCAACACAAGCCAGGGCCCTATATATTCTTATTTTTTTTGTATTTTATTTCTACTTAAAGTCCCTCTAACATTTCTTATAAAGCTGGTTTAATGGTGATGAACTTTTTTCCTTCTTGCTTGTCTGGGAAACTATCTCTCCTTGGATACTGAATGATTAGCTTGTTTGGTAGAGTAATCTTAGATCTTTCTTTCTTTCTTTCTTCTTTTAATCTCAACCATCTCTTTATTTTGATGATGTACTTTTATAGGGAAAATAATCAGATTATCAGGACTGTATGTAACTAAATGAAATCAAGAAAAAGAAATAATAGTATGAATTTAAAGACAGAATTATGAAACTATATATCAAAATGCATCAAATGTAAAGGCTTTGGGTCTATTGTCTAATTAACCAGCATTGTTATATTTCTTTCCATATTTAAAAAATATTTGCAAACATAACAGTGGGTGATAGTCTACATTTTCTCCAATCTTTTGCTAACTTTCAGCATTTCCCTTAGCCCCATTCTAGGTTTTTGCCTTTCATCATTGACTATTTCTTGCCAGTCCCTTCTGGGTACAAAGTTGCTATTGAAAAGTTTTCTGAGAGTCTTATGGGAACTTCCTTGCACATAACTGATTTTTTTCAATTGCTGATTTTAAGATTCTCTTTTTTACTTTAGCTTTTGACATTTAATTATGATGTGTCTTGGTGTGGGTGTCTTTGGATTCATCTCATTTTGGATCTCTGTGGTTTCTGGAATTGTGTGTCTATTTCATTTGCCAAGTTAGGGAAGTTTTCAGTCATTATTTCTTCAAATAGATTTTTAACCCCTTTTTATTTCTTTTCTCCTCTAGGACTCCTATGATGTAAATGTTGTTATGCTTTATGCTGCCCCATAGTTTTAAAAAATACTATTCTAATTTTAAAAAATGCCTTCTTTTTGCTGACCTAGTTGGGTGTTTTTCACTACATTTCTTCCAGATCAATGGTTCAATTATTTGCTTATCTAATCTATTGTTGATTACATATAGTGTATTCTTCTGCTCGGATGGGTTCTTTTTTATGTTTTCTACTAGAGGCCAGGTGCACAAAATTCATGCATGGGGAGGGGGTGTCCCTCACACTTTCCAATCTGGGACTCCTCAAGGTGTCTGATTGCCCATTTAGGCCCGAGTTGGACATCCCTTTCACAATCCAGGATTTCTAACTCTCAACTGCTTGCCTGCCTGCCTGCCTGATTGCCCCTAACCACTTATGCCTATCAGCCTGATCACCCCCTAACCACTCCCTGGCCAGCCTGATCAATGCCTAACTGCTCCCCTGCCCTATTTCCCCTAACTGCCCTCCCCTGCTGGCCTGGTCACCCCTAACTCTCTTCCCCTGCAGGACTGGTTGCCCCCAATAGCCCTACCCTGCTGTCCTGGTCACCTCTAACTGCCCTCCCTGGCCAGTCTGGTTGCCCCTAACTGTCCTCCACTTCCAGCCTGATTGCCCCTAAATGCCCTTCCCTGAAGCCTGGTCACCCCTAAATGTCCTCCCCTGCCAGCCTGGTCACCCCCAACTGCCCTCCCCTGTAGGCCTGTGTCCATCCCAACTGTCTACCCCTGAAGGCCTGGTTGTCCACAACTGCCCTCCCCTGCAGACCTGGTTCCCCTCAACTTCCTTCCAAACTTCCTGGTCCCTCCAAACTTTCCTCCTCTGCTGGCCATCTTGTGGTGGCCATCTTGTGTCCACATGAAGGCAGCCATCTTTGACCACATGGGAGCGGCCATATTGTGTGTTAGAGAAATGGTCAATTTGCATATTGCCTCTTTATTATATAAGATAACCTTTTAAATGCTTTCTATATTTTTGTTGAAGTTCTTACTGATATCTTTCCTTTTATCAAGTTTATTTGCACTCTTATCTGATTGATGCTTGTCTCCATTTTGTTTAGTTCATTCTCTGGAGCTTAGTCCTGTTCTTTCATTTCTGTAACTTAACAACTAATTCTAGATACTGATATACTGATATGGAGTCCTAGTCAGTTTAACTCAGTGGATAAAGCATCTATCCACTGAAGGGTCCTGGGTTTGATTCTTGTTAAGGGCACATGCCAGGGTTGTAAGCTCCATCCCCAGTAAGGGTTGTGCTGGAGGCAGCTGATCAATGATTCTCTCGTCATTTACGTATTTTCTGGTGTATAAGACGACCCCCTAATTTTACAGTTAAAACATAGGTTTAGGCCTATATTCACTGTATAAGACTACCCCCCACTTCCGAGGCAACACCAGTTCTTTTTTTAATAGACCGCCTCTCTGACTCTGGCCAATCTGAGCAGGCTTTTTACTAGAACACAGTGTAGCTTCGGGTACAGAACATGTATAATTTGCATGCATAAAAAGCCTGCTTGGATTGGCTGAGTCAGAGAGGCGGTCTATTAAAAAAAGAACTGGTGTTGCCTCGGAAGTGGGGGGTAGTCTTATACAGCGAATATAGGCCTAAACCTATGTTTTAACTGTAAAATTAGGGGGTCATCTTATATGCTGGAAAATACTTTTCTATTTCTCTCTCCCTCTCCCTTCCTCTCTGAAATCAATAAAAATATATAAAATAATCAAAATAACAAAATAAATACTGATACGGACATGCACCTAAAAACATATAAGGTATTTTAAAGAATAATATATGATGACTTAACTCTTACAAATATTAAGACATATTGTAAGACATAATAATTAATATAGTCTTGTATTGGAACAAGAATAGACAAACATACCAAATAAAGAGCAGTGTGAAAGGTATGGGTTTTTTGTTTGTTTGTTTGCTTGTTTTACAAAAGATGTTTGGTCAATTGGATGTCCAAAATGAAATGACACCACCTCATATCCTATACAAATCAATTGAAGATTGATTGGATATAAATGTAAATGTCAACCAACAAACAAAATTTAATACCTCCCTAAGAAAACCCCACTAACAAATTTCTACAAGGTAATATAGGGGCCTATGGTTAGGAACTTTGGCAAAGGAGAGACTCCTAAAACAAGACACCAGAGTACTAATCATAAATACAATAGTTATAATTTGACTATATCAAAATTAAGAATTTATGTTTATGAAAAATACCTGTAAGAAATAAAAAGGGAAGGCAGAGAGTGAGATAATACTTGTCACAAACACAATCAACAAAGTGTTCAAACAAGAATATACAGAAACAGTTACAAATGAGTTAAAAAGTAATTAATATAATGGGAAAAGAAGTACTTCCAAATGGCTGATAAACAAATTAAAATAAATGCAAAAATTTTAGTAATCAGGAAAAAACAATTGGAAACTGCAATCATTTATTACTAACCACCCATCAAAATGGCTAATGCTAAAAAGATTGATAATACTGTTGGATATAGTCTAAGCAAGGATGTAAAACAACTGGAATTCTAATATACATTTCTGTTGTGAGTATAAATTGGTACCAATACTTCAAAAATTTTTTTTAAATATATTTTTTAATTGATTTTAGAGAGAAAAGGAGAGGGGGAGAGAGATAGAAACATCAATGATGAGACAGAATCATTGATAGGAGCAAAAGGAGAAAAAGAGCAATATCTTTATTACATAGGAAAAAAATTTTCTAATTGTTATAAACTGAAAATAATCTAGATGTTCACATCCATCATAGAATGAATAAATTGTGGCATTTCATATAATGAATACTATACTGCAATAAAAATCAAATATAGTTATACACAACAGTTTGTATTAATCTCATAGACATAATTTTGAGCAAAAGAAACTAGGTACAAATGAATACCTCCATATTGTTTCCATTATATAAAGTTGAAAAATCTAAACAAAAGTTTTTCATGATTTTTGTTTAGTGATAAAATTATAAAGAGAAGTGAGGAAGATAATATCAAAAGAGGTAGAATAATAGCCCCTTTTGGGGAATAAGAACTGGGAGAAAGGAAGAAAGCTTCTGGGATGTTGGTAATGTTTTAGTTTTTTTTTTTTTTTTTAACTTAAATGGTAGTTATAGGTTTGCTCATTTCATGATAATTCGCTGAGTTGTACATGTTTTGTTTTATACACTTGTACGTGTGCTATATTTGTTATAAAGAGATTGCTCTTTTTCTCCTATTTCATACCTGGCTCAGCATAAAACTCAGGGGGTCCTCTGGCTTTTCATAAACTAAGTTTTCAGTGATCTGCTGAAAGAGCATAAGACATCGCATTATGGTTCTGAGCTAAAGTTATGTGGTCAGGTTATATCTGAAGTGATCTTTTGCACTAACATGTACATACCATTTTAAAGAAATTCATTTGTATCTATAAAATAACAAATTATTTTCTTACCACTAATAAAATGAGGTAAACTAAGGTAAAATTTGGAGGAATAAAATTCTATATATTATAATAAAAGGCTAATATGCAAATTGGCTGACTGGCAGAACAACCAGTTGCTATTATGTTCACTGACCACCAGGGGACAAAAACTCAATGTAGCAGCTGCCTCCTGATGGTCAGTGTAATCCCACAGGGAGAGCACCACTCAGCCAGAAGCTGGGCTCATGGCTGGTGAGCTCAGTGGGAGTGGTGGGAGACTCTCATGTCTCCACAGCAGCGCTAAGGATGGCCAACTACTGGCTTAGGCCCACAGGGAGTGGGCTTAAGCCAGCAGTCAGACATTCCCTGAGGGCTCCTGGACTGTGAGAGGGTGCAGGCTGGACTTGAGGGACCCCCTCTGAGTGCACGAATTTTGTGCACTGGGTCTCTAGTTTTAGTAATAAGTATCAATGGATATTTCTCTAGTTTCCAAGTTCAAAGTAGTGAGAAAGTTTTAGTTTTGAGAACTGTGATTTTGCTAGACTGAGAAATTAGGATTATTTGCTTTGAAGAATTGCCATACAAAAGTACTTTGAGTAAAATTTTAAAATATTATATGATTTTAGTACATAGAGCCTTCCTTTAGAGGCCTTGATTCTAAAAGGTGCAAATGATGTTCACTGTTTCTAATAATAAATGAGGAAGCATATATAAAACTTCAGAGATTCACTACCATACTTTTTGTTGTTGTTGAATAATCCTTCAAGTTATAATAAACAATTATCATTTTTAAGTAATAACAATGGTGGAAATTTTAGTTATAAGATAGTACAGTCTGCTTAATGTATTTGCACCAATTATGTATTTCATATATGTTTTTATGAAATAATTATTTGATAACTAATTTTCTTATAACAATGTTGAATGCATAAGCATTATTTTTTCTTAACATATGAAGGAAAATATTTATAGAATGATTAGAATTTTACTTCCTTCAGTTTAGTAATTAGTTGTTCTTTGATTAAAGGTAGAAAGTGCTCTCCCACAAAACAATATCTTAACAAAGAAAAGGCATAGAGCAGAGTTAATGAAGTGTCACTTATCCCTGTTTTATATGAGGAAACTAAGATTCACAGAAGTTATGTAGTTTTCTCCAAATAACAAAGATGAAAACCAGCTAAGTTAGATTGGAGCCTTGAGCTAAATTTGCAGTTTGTGATCTTTCTTCTACACCCCACTTCTTTAAACTTAAGTTTAAATGTTTTCATTTGAGGTGGGTGATTCTTATTTTACACTTTTCTAACCACAAAGTTACTTCATGTACTCATATATTATGCAGTATATGAACTAGAGGCCTGATGCACAAAATTCATGCAAGAGTAGACCTTCCTTCCCCTGGCTGCTGGCACTGGCTTCCCTCCAGCACCAGGGACCCAGGCTTCCCACCAGCTGCTGGCAGACACCCAGGACCTGGGCTTCCCTCTGGCCACCTGCAGGCACCTGGGACCCCAGAAGCCCTGAATTCCAGTCTAATTAACATGTTATTATTTTATTATTATAGATTATTATAGATATGTACTTTGCTGGGTAATAATATTAACATAAAAATAAACATGTCAGGTAAACAAAAACAACCCACCAAATAGCAAACATTTTATAAATGTAATAATTTCTTGTAATTCTATATTGGCAAAGGATGCTATACTTAAAGAAATGTTCATCATGATTTTTTAGAGAGAGAGAAGAGGGAGAGGGAGAGAAGATAGAAACATCAATCAGCTGCCTCCTAGTGAGCATATAACCCACAACCCCAGCATGATAACTCTGAGGTGAACAGTCCTGACTGGGAATCGAACCAGCAACCTCTTGGTGCTGGGACAAAACTCAATCCACTCAGCCACACCAGCTGGGCAAGGATGCTATCCTTTAAAGAAATTTCAGCCCCAAATCCTAAGGTCAATATGGTTAAAAATTTTTAGAATTAGAAGCAACCCTTAACTACTCACTCCTCCCTCCACCCTACAAACAATGTGGTTTCTTAGATGTCACAGGTTGGTTATCTTTTGAAAATATTATATGATGCCTGGAAAGCTTTTTTCTTTCCTTTTCAATGGCCAATATTTTGTTCTTCCTTCCTAGTCTGGCTCAAACTTTTAACTTTTTGCCAAGATTTTTCCTATAATCCAATCTACCCAATCCTTCTGAATGGCTTCATATATGGTAAGTATCACTCATTTGGTGTTTATCATTTACTGCTTTTAAAAAAATACATCTTACTGACTTCTCAATGAGATTATATCCTTTGTATTATCAAAGGCTCTTTCTTATACCACATGAAAGCCGTGTCAAAGTTTGTTTTTTACATTATAACTATTAGAAAACTCACAATTAAAGAAAGGGAATGAGAGGTTTACCTGGAATATATGCAGAATGTGGTGTTTCTCCATGTATTGTAGTGAAACTAGATAAGGATCTTGATATACCAGAGAAGGAAGTTGCCTCTTTTGGTGTTGAGAACTTCCTTCTTGGTAGTTTGGAGTATTATCCTAAAATGGAAATATCCCCCCACCAAAGAGTCTTTAATAAATCAAAAAGCCTCAGGAAGTTCTTATTTTTGCTGTTATCAGTGGAAACTGGTGATGATGGGATCTAAACACCAGGAGATGCAAAAAAGACACATTATTATGAGAGACCTAGCTGGTCCTCCAGGCAATATAATGTATCTCAAGTCCTGGGAGCTACCTTAGGCTTCTCCAATCTACTCCAACTATTTCCCCCTTCATAGTTTACTCCCAATGTCTTTTCTTTGGTAGAAGCCTAGAGAGGAAAAATGACTTAGTGTTTAGACTTAGCAGCAGAAGCAGGATTTGAAACCCAGGTCTCCTGAATGCTGGTTCATTAATCATTCCTGAATGGCCCTAGAGTAGCAGAGAAAGCAACTCATTTCTATCTATCCCATCCTTCTCCTGTCCTTCCTGATCTTATAGGTCACACATATCACAGCATGTGGGTTTATTTCTCATCCTTGATTCAACCTGTGCCCACCCTCTACCCTCCACACCACCATTATAGGCCTCTAGCTTGGCTTCCAACCTCCCAGGTGGGTATCAAATGCCCCTTTAACCTACAGGCATGGTTACTATGATTGGACCCTTTTCTTGATTGGTGAGATAGTCAAATTTAGTTGAGATGGCGGGAAATCTTGGGACAAAGTTGTGGTCTTTTGTTTGTAAAGAACCGACGAGCTTGCTATCATATGCTTTGAATGCTTTCATAAAGATGTCATTTTCATAATTAGTTATATCTGGAATCTTGGAATATCTGAGTTCTTTTAACTTAAATTCAGTCTCTTTGCCCTTCTTGCTGGTATGTTTTCTGTCATCAGACTCATCACTTTCTCCAAGGTCAGTTTGGTCATCATCTATGTCATCTTCATCTTCAACCTTTTCATACTCAGTGTAGAGAGACCTGATAACCCTGGGGTTAACAGCGCTGATAACTTGGTGTTCAGCTTTCTGTTCTTCAGCTAGTTCAATAATTTGGTTATGTGTTTTGTGATGAGTCTTTGCAGATGTTTTGAAGCCCATTGGGTCAGACAGTATGTGTTCAACCTGTTCAACCAGATCAGACTTTGGTTCAACCAGACCAAACTTTCTGCTGTCAATCAGTTCATAAGGCACTTGGTCAGCTGGGCCAGACGCTCTGTGTGGCATCGGTGCAGAAGACCTTCGACCATCTTGGCCATTCGGTTCAGCAGCCTTCCGGTCATATTGGCTAGAGTTCTTGCGATCAGTTGGTTCAGAAGACCTTCGGTTATCTTGGCCAGACTTTGTGTGGTCAGTCTGTTCAGAGCCTATTTGTTCAGATGAGACAGACGGTGTATGGCCGGACAGTTTGCGATCAGTGGGCTGAGAAGTTTGTCCTTGGTGCTGAACAGGCATCTGACTGCCAGTCCGTTCAGATTCTGCATGACGAGCTTGGTGAGCTGGCCTACTCTTTCTTTGTTCAGACATTCTTTGGTCAACCTTATTAGTTCCTCTATGATCAGCAACTTTATAACGCTGGACGCTTTAGGTCAGTCTGATCATATGTTCTGTGCCTATTGTATTTGGACACTTTGTGGTCAGCTTGGCCAAATGTGTTAGGTTCAGACTGGCCAGATACTCTTAGGTCATCCTGGTCAGCTGTTCTGGGATCAGCTGGTTATCTGCTTCCTTTTAGTACAGGTTCTGCAGTTGTCTTCCTGGCCATCTAGGTGGCTGTCATTTGGGTGCTTGGTTGTGCTTTCAGATTCCCAGGATCCCCCCTCGGAGCCTCTTGTGGAGGTGCTCACATTTTCTGCCTGTTCCTGATTGGTCTAAATTGCTGTGGGTGGGGCCAATCTGGGTTGTCTGGGCGACCTTAGGGGAATGCAAGGCAATAATGCCTGTGGGGGTTTGTGTGAGCCTCAGTGAACTGGTTCTTTCTTCCTTCCTTTCTGGAGCACAGGCTGTTGCCTGAAGGTGAGCTGGGGTCCAGAAGCTGCTGGGGGAAGGGCTGCCCCTGGCTCTGGGCAGACTCTGGAGAGGGACTCTGCTGATGCGCAGTGTGGACCATCCTCTGGTGCTGCCACCACCCAGCCTCTAGACCTCAGGGCTTTGGGAATCGCTACCCTCCTGGTTTTCTTTCGGAGGTTCGCAGAGGTGCATGTCAAATCGGATTGTCCAAGTATTGCTCTTCTAATTCTCTCTCTCTCTCTCTCTCTCACACACACACACACTCTCTCTCTCTCTCTCACACACACACACACACACACACATACACACACAAAAGTCAGGCGATGACACTCATGCAACTACCGGAAGGCAGCATTCCTGAACAGAGGTGGCTGCTGCCATAAAATACAAATCCATTCTACCTCCACAACTGATTTGTCTAATTACAGTTGTCTAGCACAGTATTAGTAGTACTAATATCAGTGCTGGCCACTGTGTTAGTAAATTGCCTTGCTAATGTTTTTTTACAGAGAGGAAGGGAGAGGGATAGTTAGAAATATCGATGAGAGGGAAATATCAATCAGCTGCCTCCTGCAAATCTTCCTACTGGGTATGTGCCCATAACCAAGGTACCTGCCATTGCCTGGAATCAAACCTGGGACCCTTCAGTCCGCAGGCTGACGCTCTATCCACTGAGCCAAGTCAGTTAGGGCTGATTTATTCTTCTTTAAACACTGATCAGTATTATGGTGATGTGGCCACATTATGTATTTTCAGTCTTAATTTTTTTAAAAATCCTCATCAGAGGATATTTGTGTGTGTGTGTGTGTGTTGCTTTTTCTTTTTTAAAATAAATTTTTAATGATTTTAGAGAGAAAGAGGAAGAGAGAGGAAGAGGGAAACATTGATGTGAGAAACATTAATGAGTTGCCTCCCTACTGCATACACCCCACTAGAATGGAACCAGCAACCTAGTGTGTGAAGGAAGCTCCAACCAACTGAGCCACCCAGATAGGGCCAGTTTTAATTTTCTAAAACCATTTTTTAAATCCTGTCTTTATAAACAGTGCCAGTGCTGATTTCAGTGCTACTAGGAAGAGTTAGGCCTTCATGTTACCAAAGTCACATGGATCTTACCTCACAATAAAGAGAGTAGAATTTCGGTCTCCCCCACCCATGTCCGCACACACTCCTTGACAGTTCATTGCTGCTGGAGCACCATCCACTCCATTTGATGGGATAAGTGAGCAGTTGTTTCCCATCCCCTCTAGGAAGAGTTACCCTGGCTGTGGAAAATCAAGCCCCATTCAGTTTTGTTGATTTATACATACATTGAGGAAATTCCATAATGGCTGCACCAGTCTGCATTCCCACCAGCAGTGTATTAGGGTTCCCTTTTCTTCACATTTTACCAGCACTTGTCATTTGTTGATGATAGCCATTCTCACATGTGTGAGGTGATACTTCATTATTGTTTTAATTTGCAACTGATGATCAATGACTTTGAGCATTTTTTAATACATCTCTTGGTCATCTGTATGTCTACTATAGAGAAGTGTCTATTTAGGTCCTTTGCCCATTTTTTTTTAATTGGATAGTTTGTGTTGCTTTTGTTAAGTTTTAAGAGTGCCCTATATATTTGTTATATTAAACCTTTATCAGATTTATCATTGCCAAATATGTTCTCCCATGCAGTGAGTGAGCTTTCTTATTGTTTTGTTGATGGTTTCTTTTGCTGTGCAGAAACTTTTTATTTTGATGCAGTCCCATTTGTCTATTTTTTCCCTTAATTCCCTTTGCCCTACGAACTGCATCTATACACACACTCCTATGAGAGATGTCTGAGATTTTGCTGCTATGGTTTCTTCTAGAATTTTTATGGTTTCATGACTCACATTTAAATCTTTTGTACATTTTGAATTTATTCTTGTATATGGTATAAGTTGGTAGTCTAGCTTCATTTTTTTTGCATGTATCTATTCAATTTCCCAAACACTATTTGTTGAAGAGATTATCTTGACTCAATTGGATGTTCTTGCCTCCTTTGTCAAATATTAATTGACCATAATGGCTTGGGTTTATTTCTAGCATTTCTGTTCTGTTCCATTGATCTATATGTCTGTTCTTGTGCCAGTTCCAGGGTGTTTTGATTACAATGGCTTTGTAGTATAACTTGATATCTGGTATTGTGATCCCTCCAACTTTGTTCTTCTTTTTCAACTTTGCTGTGACTATTTGGGATATTTTTTGGTTCCATATAAATTTTTTGAATATTTGTTCTAGATCTTTGAAATATGCCATTGGTATTTTAATGGGGGTTGCATTGAGTCTATAGGTTGCTTTGGGTAGTACGGACATTTTAATGATGTTAATCTGACCAATCTATGAACATGATATATTCTTTCACTTGTTTATGTCTACCTCTTCATCTTTTTTCAATGTCCTGTAGTTTTCTGAGTATAAGTGTTAACCTACTTGATTAAGTTTATTCCTAAGTATCTTAATTTTTTTCTTTTTGCAATGGTAAAGGGATTGTTTATTTAGTTTTTCTTTCTGAGAACTCATTGTTAATATATAAAAATGTCATAGACTTCTGGGTATTTTGTATTCTGCTACATTGCCTAATTCATTTTTATTAAATATAGTTTTTTTATGGAGTGTTTAAAATTTTCTATGTACAACATCATGTCATCTTCGAATAATGAGAATATTACTTATTCCTTTCCAATTTGAATGACTTTTATATTTTCTTGTCTGATCACTGTGAGTAGGACTTCTAGTACTATGTTGAATAAAAGTGTTAAAAGTGGACATCCCTGTCTTGCTCCTGTTCTTAGGGGAAAATGGTTTTAATTTCTGCCCCTTGGGTATGATGTTGGCTGTCAGTTTGTCATATACTGTATGGCTTTTACATGTTTGAAATATGCTCCCTCTATTTCTACTTTGCTGAGAGTTTTAATAAAAAAAAAATAGGTGTGGATTTTGTTGAATGCTTTTTCTCTGTCTATTGATAAGATCATGTGACTTTTGTATTTTATTTATGTGATGTATCACATTAATTGATTTGCAAAATATTGTACCAGCCTTGCATCCCCGGAATAAGTTCCACTTGGTCATAGTGTATGATCTTTTTAATAAATTGTTGGGTCAGATATGCTAATATTGTGTGGAGGATTTCAGCATCTATGTTCATCAGAGTCACTGGCCTATAATTCTCTTCTTTTTGTAGTGTCTTTATCTGGTTTTGGAATTAGGATAATGCTGGCCTCATAAAAAGAGGTTGGGAGAGCTTTTACCTTTTGAATTTTTTGCAATAGTTTGAGGAGTATATGTGTTAGTTCTTCTTTGAATGTTTGGTAAAACGCCCCTGTGAAGTTGTCTGGACCAGGGCTTTTGTTTGCTAGAGTTTTTTTTTTTAAATTTTTTAAATTTTTAAATTTTATTTCTGCTTTTTTTTCATTAGTTGTCATTGGCCTATTACTGATTCTTCCTGATTCAATTTTGGAAGATTGTCTTTTTCTTAGATTTGTCTATTTTATCCACATTGTCATTTGTTGGCATATAGTTGTTTATAGTATTTTCTTACAAACCTTTGTATTTCTGTGTTATCAGTTACTTCATTGCTTACTCTTTCTTTTTTTTGTAAATATTTTATTGTTATTTATTTATTTATTTATTTATTTATTTATTTATTTTATTGTCTAAAGTTTTACACATGTCCCCTTTTTCTCCAATTAACCCCCTCCCCCCTCCGTTCCCAATCCTGGCAAGCCCCCACCGCCCCAGTGTCTGTGTACATTGGTTATGCTAAAATGCATGCATACAAGTCCTTTGGTTGCTCTCTAACCTCCCTCCCTTACCATTTGTCTATAGATCGATCTATTCTTTTTTTTTTTTTAATATATTTTATTGATTTTTTTTACAGAGAGGGAGAGGGATAGAGAGTTAGAAACATCGATGAGAGAGAATCACTTGCACACTCCCTACTAGGGATATGCCCGCAACCAAGGTACATGCCCTTGACCGGAATCGAACCCGGGACCTTTCAGTCTGCAGACCAACGCTCTATCCACTGAGCCAAACCGACCTCGGTGATCAATCTATTCTTATCCCACTTATGAGTGAGAGCATGTGATATTTATCTTTCTCTGTCCGGTGAGAAATGCTCTCCAGATCCATCCATGCTGTTGCAAATGGTAAAGGTTCCTTTTTAATAGCAGCATAATATTCTATTGTGTAGATGTACCACAGTTTTTGAATCCGTTCATCTGCTTATGGGCACTTACACTGTTTCCAAATTTTAGCTACTGTAAATTGTGCTGCTATGAACATGGGGTGTATATATCCTTTCTGATTTGTGTTTCTATTTTCTTGGGATATAGTTCTAAAAATGGGATTACTGGGACAAATCGGAGTTCCATTTTTAGTTTTTTGAGGAAACTCCATACTGTTCTCCACAGTGGCTACACCAGTTTGCATTTCCCCCAGCAGTGCACAAGGATTCCTTTTTCTCCACATTCTCACCAGCACTTGTCATC